TGATTGTGGTGGTGGTGACGATGATGATGATGATGATGATGATTGCGGTTGTGACAGTGGTGATGATGATGATTGTGGTGGTGGTGACGATGATGATGATGATGATGATGGCGGTGGTGATGGTGATGATGATGATTGTGGTGGTGGTGACGATGATGATGATGATGATGATTGCGGTTGTGACAGTGGTGATGATGATGATTGTGGTGGTGGTGACGATGATGATGATCATGATGATGATGATGATGATGGCGGTGGTGATGGTGATGATGATGGTGGTGGTGGTGGTGGTGGTGAAGATGAAGATGGAGGTGGTGGTGGTGAAGATGATGATGATGGTGAGGGTGATGATGATGATGATGATGGTGGTGGTGGTGGTGGTGGTGATGGTGATGGTGAAGATGGTGGTGGTGGTGATGATGATGACGATGGTGGTGGTGATAGTGGTGAAGATGATGATGATGATGATGATGGTGGTGGTGGTAGTGGTAGTGGTGAAGATGATTATGTTGGTTGTGGTGGTGGTGATGATGGTGGTGGTGGTGGTGGTGGTGATGGTGATGATGATGATGGTGGTGGTGAAAATGAAGATGGAGGTGGTGGTGGTGATGATGACGATGGTGGTGGTGATAGTGGTGAAGATGATGATGATGATGATGGTGGTGGTAGTGGTAGTGGTGAAGATGATTATGTTGGTTGTGGTGGTGGTGATGATGGTGGTGGTGGTGGTGGTGGTGATGATGATGATGATGATGATGATGGTGGTGGTGGTGGTGATGGTGATGGTGAAGATGGTGGTGGTGGTGATGATGATGACGATGGTGGTGGTGATAGTGGTGAAGATGATGATGATGATGATGATGGTGGTGGTGGTAGTGGTAGTGGTGAAGATGATTATGTTGGTTGTGGTGGTGGTGATGATGGTGGTGGTGGTGGTGGTGGTGATGGTGATGATGATGGTGGTGGTGAAAATGAAGATGGAGGTGGTGGTGGTGAAGATGATGATGATGGTGAGGGTGATGATAATGATGATGATGGGGATGGTGGTGGGGGTGGTGATGATGATGATGGTGGTGGTGGTGGTGATGGTGAAGATGGTGGTGGTGGTGATGATGATGATGGTGGTGGTGATAGTGGTGAAGATGAAGATGATGGTGGTGGTGGTGGTGGTGAAGATGATTATAGTGGTAGTGGTGGTGAAGATGATGATGGTGGTGGTGATGATGATGATGATGATGATGATGATGAAGATGATGATGACGGCGTTGGTGGTGATGATGATGAAGATGATGATGATGATGATGGTGGTAGTGGTGGTGATGATAGTGGTGAAGATGGTGATGGTGGTGAAGATGATGATGATGATGTGGTGGTGGTGGTGGTGATGATGATGATGGCAGTGATAGTGATTATAATGGTGATGGTGACGATGACAGTGATGATGATAGTGATGATGATGGTGAAGGTGATGATAATGATGGAGGTGATAGTGATAATAATGGTGACGGTGATGATGACGATGATAATGGTGGTGATGGATGTGATGATGATGGTGGTGATGATGATGGCGGTGATGATGATGGTGGTGGTGATGATGATGATGATACTGATGATGATGATGATGATGATGATTGTGATGGTGATAGTTATAACAATGGTGATGATGGCGATGAAGATGATGGTGGTGATGGTGGTGGTGATGATGATAGTGATGATGATGATGATGATGATAATGGTGGTGGTGATGATGATGATGATGATGATGATGATGATGGCTATGATAGTGATGAGGATGGTGGTGGTGGTGATAATTATGGTGATTGTGATGACGATGGCGATGGTGGTGATGATGACGATGGTGGTGATGGTGACGATGATGATGATGATGATGGCGGTGATGATGATGGTGGTGGTTGTGGTGTTTATGATGATGATGATGAAGATGGTGGTGGTGGTGGTGATGGTGCTAATGATGATGGTGGTGGTGAAGGTGGTGGTGGCGTTGACGATGATGGTGGTGGTCATAATGGTGAAGATGATGGTGGTGGTGGTGGTGATGATGTTGATGATGGTGGTTTTGGTGGTGATGACGATGGTGGTGATGGTGACGATGATGATGATGATGGCGGTGATGATGGTGGTGGTTGTGGTGTTTATGATGATGATGATGATGAAGATGGTGGTGGTGGTGGTGATGGTGCTAATGATGATGGTGGTGGTGAAGATGATGGTGGTGGTGACGTTGGTGATGATGATGATGATGGTGGTGGTCATAATGGTGAAGATGATGGTGGTGGTGGTGGTGGTGGTGGTGGTGATGATGGTGGTGGTGACGTTGGTGATGGTGATGATGATGATGATGGTGGTGGTCATAATGGTGAAGATGATGGTGGTGGTGGTGGTGGTGGTGATGATGATGATGATGTTGATGATGATGGTGGTTTTGGTGGTGATGATGATGATAAGGATGATGATGATGATGGTGATGGTGGTTATAACAGTAGTGGTGATGATGATGGTGACAGTGGTGGTGGTGGTGATGATGATGGTGATGGTGATGGTGATGATGGTGATGATGATGGTGACAGTGGTGGTGATGATGATGATGATGATGATGATGATGATGATGATGGTGATGATGATGGTGACAGTGGTGGTGGTGGTGGTGGTGGTGGTGGTGGTGATGATGATGATGATGATGATGATGATGATAAGGATGATGGTGATGGTGGTGGTGACAGTGATGATGATGATGATGATGATGATGGTGGTTACATGAAAAAAGTCTCTCCATAAAATAATCTTTCCCCTTTAAAAAACAGTTTGCACACCTCACTTTAGTCAAATATTGTGACATTTGCAATAAGTCAGGCTACAATATACTGATGGATGGATGGACAAATGGAGCTAATTTAGCAACATATAAAACTACTTCATGTTAAGTTGTTGACGATCAACACTAAGTTCCTGTGTTTTGCTGCAACCCTGAACCGTGAAAATCCTATTGCCACTGACTATAACTTGTGTAAGTGCTGATCTATATCCAAGTGTGCCATATGTTTCTAGTGAACCTTATTGCTTTCCCATTCCCAATAAAGTGGCAGAATAAAAAGGCTTTTACAGGTCCCTTTGGGTAGCAGCTACTTCCAGTGGTAGTCACTGAGCTGCAGGGCTGCTGCCATGACAAATGGCACCAAGCACATATTTTACTATTGCCATTTACAATGCATGATCCAAGCTGTGCTGCTCAAATGACTGTTCAGGAATGTTGTCGAGAGTTATGGAAGTTGCAGGAGCTCTTGTGTGTTCGTGCTTGTGTATTTTGCTCGCACACACACACACACCACTGTAATATATTGAAATTGTTAAGTCAGTCATTTGGGTGTTTTTCATATGCACCAGTTAATTGGAATTTTGTGGAAACAACAATCAGGAATAAAATGTATTCTGGGCTTCTGCCAAAATGATGTGTGAAAATATAGAGCCACATGATTGTGACAAAGTAGTTCCCCCTCACAAATAACTTGTGTTTGCTTTTTAAAAGAGCATCAGGTCAAATCTCACTATCAGACAACAATAACCTGAGTAAATACAAAATGCTGTTTTCATTTAGTAAGAGGATAAAGCTTTCTAAACCAAAATAAAAGCATTTTCTATGATTAATGACATATTTTGAAAAGCTGGATTTATTCTCAATCCCCGGGGCTTATTGCTGACAGATCTTTGGCTGCATAGTAATGCACTACACAGTTATAACTTTAATAGTTTATTAAGGCTTAACAATGCAATAAGTAACATTTAACATTAAAGTCCTCGCCCTCGACTACCACCCTTCACACACTGCACCCGACCCTTTTGGCCCCTCCCATGAGTGGTGAGCCCATGGGAAGGGAGACCCACGTTTCCTCTTCGGGCTGGCCTGGCCAGGCTCCATGGGCGAAAGCCTGGCCACCAGGCGCTCGCCAACGTGCCCCACCTCCAGGCCTGGCTCCAGAGGGGGGTCCCGGTGACCCACCCAGTGATGCGGGCGTTTTACCGGTCTGTCGTGGTGAAGAGAGAGCTGAGTCAGAAGGCGAAGCTCTCGATTTACCGGTCGATCTACGTTCCTGCCCTCACCTATGGCCATGAGCTTTGGGTAGTGACTGAAAGAACGAGATCGCGGATACAAGCGGCCGAAATGAGTTTTCTCCAAAGAGTGGCTGGGCTCTCCCTTAGAGATAGGGTGAGAAGCTCGGTCATCCGGGAGGGGCTCGGAGTAGACTCGCTGCTCCTCCACATTGAGAGGAGCCAGTTGAGGTGGCTCGGGCATCTGGTCAGGATGCCTCCCTGGTGAGGTTTTCCGGGCACGTCCAACCGGGAGGAGACCTAAAGGTAGACACAGGACACGGTGGAGGGACTACGTCTCTCACCTGGCTAGGGAATGCCTTGGGATTTCCCCAGAGGAGCTGGTCCAATGGCTGGGGAGAGGGAAGTCTGGGCCTCTCGCCTTAGGCTGCCCCCGCGACCTGACTCCGGATAGGCGGATGAAAATGGATGGATGGATAAATTATTGATAAAGAAAATTATCATTTTTAAAATGTATCTGTCTATTTGAAAGGTTTTAGTGACCCCCCACCCCCCACCCCCAAAATAAAAAAAAATACAACTTTTTAAACAGGCAGCACTGTGTAGATTCAGACAAGCTGTGAATGAGTGACAGCTGGTTGCCAGATCTAAACTGATGGGGTTAAAACGGTGCAAGCATGCAGGCTCCACTCACTTTTACTATCTAAAAATCAAAATGCAGACATTTTATCCTTTACCAGATCTTCTGTCTGCAGGAAGCTAAACTCCACGCGTGAGATTTCACATCAGGGTGTCTTCGTCTGCAGCTCCAACCCGCGCGGCCGTGAGGGGGCACACAAGTCGGTGAGCCTTCGGGGAAATCACAGTTCAAACTGCGTGAGCTTACAATACGAGTGAGAATTCAAACGTAAAAACAAGATTCAGAATTTATTTTTTCTTAAATCTGCAAGAACTTGGAGAGAGAGAGAGCAGGTCGAGGGGAGGAAATCCGCACCATCCATAACGCAACGAGCCATAAACATTCCCTAAGACGCGCGACGAGTGGAATGTTTGCGTTTATTTCTTGTTTTGTTTGTGAATTGATAAAGACGGACTGGTTAGTAAGACAGGATCTGTCGATATAAAGAAACTTAAAGACTCTCGTTCGGTAGCCAGAGGGCGGTGACATCTCTCTCTCTCTCTCAGCGTAAACGGAGCGGAGCGGAGAGGAGAGCGCACGAAACGGAGATCCAGAGCAGTGGCGAGGCAGCAGCGCCGCGGACAGTGACGGGACCTGGCTCTTAATCCCACCACCTCTTCTATTGCAGTTTTACCAGCGCTTAGTGACACGGGCGCATCCCAGGAAGTAGAGGCGTTCCCACCCACGCCGCGAGGTTTTTATTTACTCTTCATCATTAGAGCTTGTGCTGGAGGGGGGGTTCTTATTTCCCCCTGCCGTGGACGGAGGAGTTGTGTGCGTTCATGTGCATTCCGCCTCGCCTATCATGGGTAAAAGTGGACTGAGAAGTGGAGTAGCGCTCGGAGCTTCCAGCTTGGGGAGAATGTGCGCCACGCCGGGGATCCTGCTGCTGCTCTTGGTGCTGGCGCACCCGGGAGTCGCTCAAGGTAAGGCGGCAGGAGCGCGCGCCCGGCTCCAAAACGCTCTGATCACACATCTAGCGCTGGAAAAAGTGTCAGATATTCTAATGTGTTGCAGAGGTTATTTGCTTGCATGTAGACTGAGAGGCAGACGCATCTCCTGCGGAAGGAAGCACTTATTTTTTATTTGAAGAGAGTTGATGAGTAGGTGGATTGTGGTCAGCATCTTCGGGCGTTAGAACCAGACTGCACATGCTTAAAGTGGCGGTTGGAGCTATTAAAAAAACACAAGTTGGATAAATATGAACATTTATTCTTAGGATTTAAGTTCAAGTATGAAAAGTTGAATTTGTATTATACTGTGAGAAGAAATGGTGGTAAACATGTTTGATCCATTTCCTTTTATAATTCACAAATAATATGTAACCGCTCTGCACAAACCAAAAATCCAACAAACAATAATTCCAGGCCATGCTCTGCTTGATTGGAAAACTGATCCAAACCTTTTATAGGCAATTACAGATCTCACAACAAAAGCACCAGAGGCTACAGCAGAATGGGAAAAAAATCATCATTTAGAGGGTTATAACCTAAAGTCACAGCTGATTAGATGATTTGATTAGATGATAGCTCTATAGGATTGGGTGGGGAAATGATTACAGCTGTGTGTCCACTCTGTGCCCCAAGTGAAGCATAACGGGGATATTGAAGTGATATTTCACCCAGCAAGGCTGTTTGTGGTGATACAGCAGGCTAGAGAGCGGAGGAAGCATAAACTTTCTACTATTTAAGCATTTTATTCTTCCCTGTGTAGCTGGGAAATTACCTTACTTAATGAAACGCTGTTAAAAAAATGCATCTTTGTGCTTTACACTCTGCCTCACCTTATCACTGCTCCTTAATGCTCTAGAAAGAATTCTGGGTCAGACCATCTTTTGTTGTAACAAGCTGCTTAAAATCTCCATTTATGAAAGTTTGACCTTAAAAAGCTGCTGTTTTATTTGATCTGCTTCTACTTAATAAGTAATATTCTCCCTGAAACCCTGCTAATGTAAAACACACACAGCCATTTGGCCCCCTCTATACAACCAGGATGTTTTATATAAATTAGTATTGACATGACAAATTGGCCAAGGCCTTAAATGCTGAATTTGGGAAGTAATTGGACATGAAGCTGCTGCTACCTTTCTCTTGTTGCCTTGGGGAGCAGCATTTCAGCAACTACCTCCGATATTCATTATAACTGCTTTTTTATTAGCTTACTGGTAAATCGATAAACTGCAAATTAGGGACACAATTTGAGCAGAGCTCCCGTTCACCACTGATAAATGGCATCCTGGCACAGATATGCAACTTAATTCGACTTCTTTGGAAGAAATCAGATAATTGGGACTCTCGCTGCGTTGTCTTCCCAGACCCCTGAAAAATGCAGCCCTTCTTTCATTCTGCTATCGTTTTTCAAGGTTTAGATTTCCTCCCCCCCGCTTTCATTTGGCTTGCCCATTATGTTTGTGTCTGTTGTTTTCTCTCTTCTAACAGCTCGCCTTGTGTCTCTGAAGTTGTGAGCAAAGGAAAAGTCACTCGTTAGCTGTTCACACGTGCCACTTTTCTGTCGCCGAGTTGGGTTTTTGTGCAGAAAGCTGGTCCGCCAGACGAGTGGAATTCAGTTCCCAAACCCAGAGACTGAGAAACACAAATATTTGCTCTGGCCAGATTACTGCGCTGTTTGTTGAGGTGCATGCATCATCAAGTGGCTTATTGGCGGGTTGCTGCCTCCAGTTTTTACTCCACTGTGAAATATGTGGTTTGGCCACTTTAATAGCAGAGCTTGTTTCCAGGATCATAGCTAATGATGCTCAGGATGCTGGTGTTTGTGGACATGATGCTGTGCTTTGGATTATAGTCTAATGAGGGGACCCTCAAACAGTAAATCTACATTTTTTCCCACTTTAAATGTATATTGAGTGCACTTAAGCTACTCAGTAAGCTCAATCAGTCATTTCACCCCACGTCAGCTCTCCTTAATGCTTTAAGTGATGTAATTAGGCCAGGCCATGTCTTTATCATAACTTTGCATCTCGACTGGAATTGGCCTTTTATAGTTGGACGTACTTGTTGAAATTGCACATGCAGTTCCACTCAAGTCAACTTAAAGTGCATACGTGCTTTCTAACCAAGGCCCGATAAAGCTCTTAAATGTTCATGAACTCTTTTGTGCTTGACGTAATGAAAGAGTGCACTTCTATCTTTCATTGGCGTGTTTCTCTTAGGGCTGTTTGATTGTGGAAACAGATTTAAATGACAAATATTGAGGTCAATGTTGAAATTTTGATTATTTTCAAGCAGAGGTGTGGACTCAAGTCACATGACTTGGACTTGAGTCAGACTCGAGTCATTATTTTTAATGACTTCTGACTTGACTTGATAAAATCTATAAAGAGTTATGACATGACTCGGACTTGAACGCCAATGACTTGCGACTTGAATCGACTTGCATCTGTTGACTTGATGATGACTTGAGCATATTTGGTATTTTAGCACAAAAGTGGCACGACATGGGCAAAAATCATAAATCGTTGTTCGTTCTGGGTTTGATTTACTGCTAAATGCAGCAGCCCTTTGTTTAGAATCAGTTCCAGTCACACTTTCTGCTTGTTTGAGCAAATAAATGAAGCTTTAAGAAGCTTTAATTTTGGAATTTATTTATTGGACAGATGACTTGATTATGACTTGAAATTTCAAAATTAAGGACTTGGACTTGACTTGGACTTCCACATCATTGACTTTGGACTCGACTTGGACTTGGTTGTCTTTGACTTGGACTTTACTGGAGACTTGACTGGAAAGACTTGTGACTTGCAATGCAGTGACTTGGTCACACCTCTGTTTACAAGATTCACATTTTAAAGACCAGGTTCACTTGCTGTTTTTAACACGTTTGCAGTGTTCTCTATTATGGATGATTGCCTTGTGAGTTGATCCCTGTGGGGAAAAAAAGCTCTGGCGCTGCTGTTTCAGAAACTAGAAGTGAATCAGAGAGGGGAGCAGAAGACGGCAGGATTTGGGGCTTTATTTCTTGATTTTTTGACATCCCACCTTGGATTAGTTAACAGCAACGTGACTCTACCACTGACTGCTTTGCAACGCTGATGTTTTATCTCAACAAATACCACAAGTCTGAAGGAGTCCTGCCATATGGTGGAGTTGCTACTGCTAACAATTAGCTTCTTCTAGCTAAGATGTGGTCTGCTGTCTCCTGGACACTACAGGTGCAGAGTAATTGGTTTCAGTTGTAATATTTGTTCATTATTTTTATAACTTTATTTTCTTTCTCTCTTATTGGTTTTATTTGTTAGTTAAATATTTTACTCAACATTTTTTTATTGCACAGTTCAAACAAACTTTGTTTTTCTTTTATATTAAACCAACAGCAGCCTTCCCCCATTGCAAGCCAAAATGGGTGAATCCATGAATGCTGATATTCAGTGTGAAGTAGAATTGACTAACTATGTTAAACATAAGTTCCTACATGATTAAATTTGTTACATAAATAAAACTTGAACTGCACTAAAAGTAAAGAGTCGATAGGGAAACCCAGGTTTCCAAGTAGGAAGCCGGTGCACATAAAAATTGTTTTTAGAGTAGCTGAAAATACTGGGATCCACCGCTGTGTTTTGCCCTTGATCTGCCATTTTTACTACTGCTGTTTTATTGCAAAGTTTGTATTTGTGTGGCATGTCGTGCATTGAATTCTTCTTCTTCAATGTAACATTTTCCCAGTTAAAGGGGCAGATCTGTCTATTTGAAGTGTGGTAGACATCTGTCAGTCTGGTGAATCAGGAGGAAATCTTGATAGAGAGGTAGAGCTAAAGTCACTGTTACTTATATTTTCTGACATCTAAAACAGCTCAGACGTCAAAAACAAAGTATTGGTTCAAGCATGTGTTATACCGTATTTACAGCGTGTCCCTTTGGCTTTAGACTTGTATTTGCTTTGCTGTTGTTCTCACACATTCACAGTGGCTTGGCATAACTTTTGCAAAATGTAAGATAATAAATGCTTTTCTAATGATTTTTTCTGTTTATCTGTTCATTTTTAAAATAAAAAGTGAACTTTAGGTGTAAAGGGATCTACAATAACAGGAAACCCTTTTTAAAAATGTTACGGAGGCACCCCTGTTCGCTGTTTTCCTCAGGCAGCTTTATTTTTTCAATGCAAAAATGAAGGGTTAAAATATATGATGTAGTAAAAGACAAAAATAATTAAATAAATACATGGACACAGTTCCCATTTGATTTAACATCTAATGTAAAAAAAAATTGTCAAACACTAATTTCCATCTCTGTTATTAAACTGCATAAACGTGACTTAAAATGAATCTTCACAAAATAAATTAGTGGCCTTTACAGTTCAGCTGGATGTGAAGTGTGGTGGCTTCGTAGCGAAAAGTGGATCTTTGGAGGCTTTTTGTTTGCTCATGAACTTGGCAGATCGGGGATTGTCTCATGGAGCTCCTGCGGAGTGTGTGTTTGTGTGTGAACTTGGCACCATGGCTGTGCTCCAACAGAGCTTGTGCTGTGTCTGTTGCAGTGCTTTGTATGTATACGCACACACTCAGCGTGATGATGCTGCCAGAGCTCCCATGCTGTCCCCCATTATGCTCTTATCCTGTCCCACGGTGCAGCACTTCCATCCAGGCTTTGGTGCTTGTATGGGGACAGTTGGGAATTATTGGAACCAAGTTAGACACTTTGATTGGTCTTGCTGCTCCGGTCGGCAGAGTGCAATTGGTGGAGCTGGTTTATGCTGGACGGTGTTTCTCAATCAGAGGTAGACGGGGATGCAAGATCTCTCTGGGTGGTTTGTGCAAGCTTTGATCACTCCACTAGGACTTGACAAGCTGACTGTGCACACACACACACACACACACACACACACACACACACACACACACACACACACACACACACACACACACACACACACACACACACACACACACACACACACACATGTATAAATCAAG